ACACACACACACACACACACACACACACACACACACAGCGACCTCATTCGCCATCGGAGTGGCTTCCCTCGAATTCAGATGACCGTTCACTGCAGTTATCTGAATCGGGGTCATCCTCGACAACCTCCGCGCGAGCCTTGCGCTGGCGAATTTTTTTTTTTTTTTTAAACCGGGCTCAGCGGTCTTCAGCTTGCGGGGCCTGCCACGAGCACGCTTAGGCTTCGCAGCAGCATCTTCCACCGGTTCCTTCCTCTTCCTCCCCCCCCTGCTCACCCACAGGTTGTCATGTTGGACAGCCTCATTGCTCGGAGGGAAGTCGGGTGCGTTCTCGACAGACTGTTCGGACACAACCGGTCGTTGCCTACGCTTGTACAAAGCCTTCACTGAAGGCTGGTACTCCTCTTCACCGTCCTTGTCATCCGCGTTGTGCTGCGTGTCCTGTTGATCCATGCCCTCCGCGTCTTCTTGCTGTTCCATGGCCTTCTCCACTCCTTGACTTTCCATCCCCTCCTTGTCCTCTTCATGCTCCATCTCCTCGTCCTCCTTTCCGTGCTCCTTCTCCGTCTCTTGTAGGTGGTCCATGTCGTCGTTGTCCTCTTGCTGGTCCTTCTCCTCCGCCTCTTTGCGGTGCTCCGCCTCTTGCTGGTCCGCCTCTTTGCGGTGCTCCGCCTCTTGCTGGTCCGCCACCTTCAAAACCGGTCCACTTTGCGGTTGCACTTCCTCATCTCCCTCTTGCACAGCGTCCAATGCCCGACGTGTCTCCGGTTCCTTCTCCCCAACCTTSTTCTTGCGTCTCTCCATCTCCCTCCGGGTTGGGACTGCTTTGCGTCGGGCATCCTCTTCCATGATCYGKTTTTGGACGGYGTCTCTATCGYGATCTGCCAATGCCTTCGCACGGTCGGCCTCCGCCTCGTCTTCATCAACCGGACCACTTTGCAGCAGCAACTCGACGTCGGTGTCCATGTGATCGAACTCGACGTCGGATTGAGGATGGTAATGGGAGGAGCTTTCCACCCGGGCGTGTGTAGAGACCGTGGGCTGCTTCTCCCTCCGACGCTCTGCAGGTTCTCTCCTACCAACATAAGTAGTGCCCAGGACCGATGGCTGGGCTCCCAGCTCAAAATCGGAATCACTTTCATCCTCCTCCTCATCCACGCCGCTCGCCTCATCCGACAATCCAGACTTCCCCTTCCACAACTCATCCTCCAAGTCACTGTCGTCGGTGCACTCATCCTCTTCGTCCTCGAGCTTCTTTGGAATCCTTCCCTTCGGTGTCTTCACGAAGCTACTCTGCCGCACCAACTCCTCATCCATCTTCTCAGTTTCGTCCTCAGGGCCCCTCAAGACAGATCCATCGTTCTCATCTGGCTCCGGAATAGCCTCGAAGAACGAACTCCACAAATCAACGCAGCCCTCGCCGTTGGCACTGCTGTTGTTGGCAGCACGCAGCAGTTGCATGTTCCAATGGATGTACACCAGCTTCTCCAATGTTTCGGGCTTCAAGCTGTTCCTCCTTTTCGAATGCACGAAGTCCATGGACGACCAATTCCTCTGAGCCGGGGTTGTTGTACTCCACATGCCCATCACTTTGATGGCAATGGCCTGCAAGTCGGGGACATCGCCACCATAAGTCGCCCACCACTCTGACGGTGTGAGCTTCTCACAATCGACCTTCGCATTGGGCTCCCACATCTTCTTGTCCTTTCTCTTGGGCCCGTTCGGCGTGGGCTCCTTGTGAAACTCGTGCAGGTCACCCAAAACCTCAAGGTGGTCTGGCCCTTTCCAAGGACCTCCAACCTGTCTCGGCAGGTAATGCATCGCGTTCTGCACAATTGTACTGTCCCGATCATACAACCACCGTGGATTTCTCCTGTGCGGGTCCAGAAGAAACGCCAGTGCATGTACTGGCTGCCGCATCATCTTCACCCGATCTCTCACTTTGTCCATGACGCTCGCCCGCTGCTCCTCAGTGAGAACGACGTGAGTCAGTTTCCTCTCAATCAGGTCGTCGTATTCAACAAGGTTTGTCGGCGATGTTCCATCCCGATCCATCCTCCTGAGAAGGCTGTACAACGGTTCCACGACATCCACCACCTTCTTCAACTCCGTCCACCATCCATCTCTCCTCATGGTGAAGTAAACCAGGTCCGCTTTCGACTTCAACTTCGTAGTGGACCAACGGATCCCCGTCCACCGCGCTGCATTTTTTCGATCCACCATATCTGACAACACTGCCTTCCTGTTCAGAAGTCTCTCCAACATCATGTAAACGGACCCGAACCGAACTTTCGTAGGACAAAGCAATGTCAGGGAATCGTCCATGGACATCATCAGGCTATTCGTGGAGTGGTGGTTCCGAATGAACTTCACAATCGTGTGGCCTCTTTTGACAGTGCTCTTCACCCAGTCTAGCTTGCTGATGTCTCGCAGCAAAAGGCTGCAACAATGCGCAGCGCAAGGTACCCATGGAATCCGTGCAATGTCCTTGTCAGTGCGGCGCTCCAGAATCTGAGAAGCCTTCTTGTTCACTTCGGCATTGTCAGTGCAGATCACGTTGATGCGATGCACCCCTATCTCCCTCATGATCTGCTCCCACAACTTTGCCAACGCCTGCGCTGTTTTCTTCCTTGCCGTCATTGACACTGTGGCCACCAGAACTGCACCCTTCTCCCCCGCTGCCAAGAAGTTCATGACGGGGCGCTCTCGACGGTCGGATGACCCGTCCGTGATGAATGTACAGCCTGATTCATCCCAACAGGTTGTCAGAGGATGCACTTGCTTTTGAATTCGCAAGTATATGAAGTCGAGCATCACCGTCCTCATATGGTTGTACGAGGGCAGCTTGAACTTCGGTCGAGCACTCACCACTTCCAAGTAAACTTCGTGGAGCTTCTGCGTCGTGTCAAATTTCAGGAAGTTAAACGCAATGCCAACACGGAACATCGCCTCCGCCCAGGCAATATCCAGCTCCTTATGTGCATCGTTGTCCAGCCATCTCTTCATTGATGTTTGCTGCAGTGATGCCACTCTCGTGTTCGACCCTGAACCCTCCGCTGGCCCCTCCTCTGCAGCGGCGACCGGCTCTGTCCAAAGCTGTTTTCGGTGGTGCCATCCCCGCAGTGGTTGGTGGTTGCGGCTCCTCGTACCCGCAAACAACCGTCTCGGAGTCCGCGTCCTGAGTCTCCGTCGTAGTCGTCCCCCCTTCCGCAATGTCATGCAACTGTCTATAGTTCTTGAGGAGGTACTGCGTCTTTTTGTCGCTCAATAGCACCTTGGCACCGGCGACAACGAGCTTGTGCACCATCTCACCTGTCCTCAAGGAACACGGCTTCAACAACTTCATAAAGTGTTCCACTGCCCTAGTGCTCATGCCCCTCCAAATTTGCGTGCATAGCCGACACTTCAGCCAGTACTCTCCTCGACCCTTCGGCATGGCTTCTTAACCCTGTATAATGTACTTCCACACTTCCCGAGTACGCTGCAGTTGTTGTTGCCTTGTCTCATCCTGAGGAACGAACAGAGAGGGGTCTGACGCCGGCGTGGGATCCTTTGCAGTCACCCCAGATGCGGGAGCACTACAACTGGCACTGGCCTTTCCTCTGTCCATCGATCCTGATGAAGGTCTCCTCCTTCCGGATCCGCCACTGCCACCGCCTGCTGCAACGCCACTGCCGCCGCCGCCCGCCATTGAACAGCAACGTGTGGAAGCACTCACCAACAAACAGCGAACGCACCCCTCTTGGCCCCCCTTTCAACCTTTCAAAAAAAAAAGAAAAAAAAAAAGGTGGGATATGGTGAATGTTTGTGGGACACGTGAAGAAGAAGAAGAAGAAGAAGAAGAAAAAGAAGAAGAAGAAGAAGAAGAAGGTGGGACTAAGAAGGAGAAGAAGATGATGATGATAATGATTGGCGGTGGAACAGCAACGTGTGGAAGCACTCGCCAACAAACAGCGAATGCACCCCACTTGGCCCCCCTTTCAACCTTTCAAATTAAAAAAAAAAAAGAAAAAAAAGGTGGGGTATGGTGGATGTCCGTGGGACACGTGAAGAAGAAGAAGAAGAAGAAGAAGAAGAAGAAGAAGAAGAAGAAGAAGAAGGGGGGACTAAGAAGGAGAAGAAGATGATGATGATGATGATGATTGGCGGTGATGGC